TGGTGGTTTCTGGCTGCCACCTTCTTGCTGTGGAAGTGGGGGTGAGAGTTGTGTTGCCCATTCATGTAAAACGGCCGGCATGCCAGTAACGAAGACCACGGCTGCTGTCCATTAAGCACTTAACCTGTGCTTGGCCTGGTAGTTTATGGGCACCATCCTCCCCGCACACCGCACGGGGGGGTGAGGTGGGGGGGGAGGAGCCGAGGGTCCGAGTGACTTGTCTGAGGCAGCACGGCTGGGGCGCCCTTTGCTTCCTATTTACTCCCCAGTTTTCAATTCCTTGGACTCTACCACCATCTCTACCGGGCTGGATCTGAGTTCTTAGATGCTGAGCAGAGAGGCCGCGGATTGACTCACACCAGGTAGGTGCCGCTTTGCCGAACAAGCACCTTCTGACCTTTTCGCCGGAGAAGAATCCGTGTCTTGTTGGGTGCTGCCCACAGGTGAGTTTCGTTTTGTTTACCCAACATTTATAAACACGTGGGCCGAATGCAGCCAGTCCGGAAGCCTCACACATTTGGATTTCTGGCTTCTCTGGATTTAGAAGATCTGGCAGCAATGAGCTCCCACTACCACATGGCAGCATTTGTCCAGAGCCGATCAGCTACTGTCCTCGTTGGATACCTAGGTCCTCTCATTTGCCACAGTCCCCACTATTCCCGGTTACCCCAACACTGGAAACCAATGGCCTTTTATCGTCATATTGGCACTTCTCCTCTTATACCGGGTCCAGTTTACACATGATGTTGAATGCCCAGGAAGGCGTCTGAGCTTGCCCCTGGATTAGATGTGTTCACTCAGACTGTCGTCTTTGGCTCCTATTGGGTCCCCCGAAGCACTGAGAGGGAAGGCTGGGTCCCCTTAAAGTTAGCATCCGCTGTAGAGTTCCCAGACCCGTCTTGTTTTTCCATCCACGTGTTGAAGGGTGAGGCATGGGCCAGATTTTTACATCTCGTCTCTTGACCTGCTGCTTCTCAGAGGGTGTCAGCCTCACCCTGCAGCCAGGCACAAGGCTTCAGGATTCAGGAGGCACCCCATCTGGGGGACCCCCAGCCTGCCCACTGGTAGCCTCAGATGGGACCACATCCCCACTAATGAATAAAGTCTCTTTAGTGTGACACCTGTTGACCCTCCTGGAGAGAGAGGGCGTGTGAGTCAGCTCCATCTTATCCTCCTCGGTTGGCGTGACCCATGGGCAGCAACGGAAAGCGATCCGGAATCCAGAGCGAAACCTGCAGGATGGAGAGCAGCTGGAGCAGGGGGTGAGGGCACAGTGACAGGCGCTGTCGTGTGGTTTCCCCCACCTCCAGGAGCCCAGCTCCCCTTGAGGAAAGTCACTGCCTCACTCCCAGGAACCCTATCTTTAGGAGACACAGTCCTTAGTAGATTTGATTTTTTGAAATAGCCAGGAGCAATCGGAAGCTAGGTCTAGTGATGGAAGTGGGTGACCGAGCCGAAGGACACCACTTGTTATAACCAACAGACAAAAAGAAACCAAGTATAAACTATGTAGAAACAACAGTTTTTCTTGTTTGGCTTGTTCACTGACTTGTAAAGGAATGTTCATAGGAGTCTTAAAAAATTGGGGCTTTGGCAATGTTGGGTGGAATAAGAGTGCTCTCCCAAGAAAACATACACTTGGAGCTATGGAGTTTGGGTACGTTTGCATAAAAAATAACTCCTCGGCATCACTGAGATGTAACTAGAGATCCACATACAACTTGGGGATAGGAGGAAGCCGGTCGGGAGTGGAGGAAATGGGCTGGCGTAGCGAGCCCTGGCCTGTCGGGGAGGAGGAGAAATAGAGGAGACCCTGCGTGACTGCCGAGATGGGGGAGAACTACTGCCTGTTCCCAGGAACCACACGGTTCCATGGTCCAGAAGAGCAGGTCTGACTTTCGCTCCTTGCCTGTGGCTCTACAAGACTCCACGGAGCGGCCCAACAAATGCCTTTACTGAGGGAGCTTAGTGGCCTCTGCCCCTCGCACCCACGCTCAGCACGTCCCCGCCTGAGCTAACCATCACCCTCCCCACCCCTTCCTCACTGTCCTCCGCATCTCAGTTCCTGACAACTGACAATTCCATCCTTGTCCTTCGGGTTATTCAGGCCAAGAACCTGGGAGTCATCCTTGATCTCCTCTCGCAGGCCACCTCCCCTCCATCCACTCTGTTGGCTTTGCCTTAGCAATATCCAGACTCACCCCGTCTCACCCCAGTCTAAACCCACCGTCGTCGCCTGGATTACTGCGCTAGCCTAACCGTCGTCTCCCTCTTTCCCCTTGCTGTGCTGTGGTCCGCTTCCGGCACAGCTGCCAGACGGATTCTTTTCAAAGGGACGTCAGAGCGTGTCTCCTGGGCTCAGCCCCACAGGGCTCCCCAGGTCAGAGCACCGGCCAAGTCCTTCCCTTGGCCCCAAGGCCTTTGCCTTGGCTGTTCCGTTCCCTCTGCCTAGAACTCTGCCCAGACGGTCCGCTCAACCTTCAAGTCTTTGCTCAAAAGACTCCTCCAGAAGGCCTACCCTGACCACCCTGTAAAATTGTACCCCATGCCCACACCTCCCCCAGCCCTTCCTATCCTCCTTACCCAGCTCTCGTGTTTTCTCTTTTCCGTAGGACTTACCACCTCATGCCTCATGTCCTCACTATGTCTGCTTGTTGTCTGGCCCCCTCGCTAGAATGTCAGCTCCCGGAGGGAAAGGAGCGTTGTTTCTGTTCACTGGTGTCTCCTAAGTGCCTGGAGCACTCAACAAGTATTTTGGGGGGTCATATTCTCCACAAAGGTCCCTGCCAGGGGCACCGGTGTCATCAAACACTGAATGACCCTGAACTTGTCTCAGGAACTTGTCTCAGGGGAGGTGGCCTGCGAGAGGAGATCAAGGATGACTCCCAGGTTCTTGGCCTGAATAACCAGAAGGACAAGGATGGAGTCCCTTGGGGAAGCAGAGCCCTCGCGACTGTGTCCTCTGGTAGCAGACACTGCGTGCTGGTGGCCCCTCGTGTGACAGTCCCTGTCCCCAAGTTCTGCAAGCTGCATGGAAGAGAGATGTGTTGTGTGGGGATAAGATTACAGGTCTTAGAGAGACATGGATGCTGGCTCCATTGCTTGCTGTGTGAATTTAGGAAAAAAGTCATCTTTTCTGAGACTCAGTTTCCTCATCTGTAAAATGGGAATGAACACCTCGCTCCCTCTATTATCTGCTTACCTTGCAGGAGACAATTGAGGGTTCTGGCACCCATTAAACACTCAGAACACTGTATAGTTTTCTCACGTCCTTCTGGCCTTCCCCTTGTGGGCAGGATGTCTGAACAGCAAAGACCCTAATGGCATGAGTGGCTTGGACATGTGGGCAGGGAGGTGACAAAAAGGCATGAGCAAAGAGGCCCGGGGCTAACCCTGCCCATTATACTCTCAGCTAAGGTCAGACTCAGTGTCCACCTCTCAGCTCCTCTGGCCTGACCCCACCTTCGGGGTTCCTGAGGCTGCATGGCCTGCTCTGCAAGCAGGGCTCCTGGGTGCGGGGGTTTCTGCCTGGCCCAGCCCCTCCCACCTCTCCCAGTGCCCAGAGCAAATGCCAGCCCGGCTCTGCGGCTCTGCTTCCTCAGCAGCACAGTGGGGAGAACCAGGTGGGGTCAGGGAGGACCGAGGCCGTGGCTCCATCCTCCCTGGCTGTCTCTGCCAAAGTCACATCCCAGCTGCCCTGAATGCCCCTCGAGGGCAGGAAATGCACCGTGATCTTCCCAGGGAGCAGGCTGCCCCTCCGCCAGGCTCGGCTCTGGGTCTCCGATCCTGTGCTCCCCACTGCTTGGTGCTCTCCTCGCCCAGGGACAGTCCTTGGTTCTTCTCATTGCAGGAGCTCTTAAAAGTGTCAGAGCAGCCCTGCCGGCATGGCCCAGTGGTTGAGCGTCGACCTGGTCACGGTTTGATTCCTGGTCAGGGCACGTGCCCAGGTTGTGGGCTCAATCCGCCATGTGGGGTGTGCAGGAAGCAGCCAATCAATGATTCTCTCTCATCATTGATGTTTCTATCTTTCTCTTTGAAAACAATAAAAATATATTTTTTAAAAATGTCAGAACAGATGAAGTCTTTTACTTGGCTCCTTCCTTCCTCCCTCTCGGTCTGTCCTTCTGCCTCTCTGCGTCTCCCCTTCCTTCCATCTCTCGGTCCCTCCCTCTCCTGGTTCCAGATGTATCCTCAGAAGAGAGAGCAGGAGCAGGCACATGGTGAGAACAAGGGGGCAAGGCTTTGGGGAGGAGGCGGGCTCACACCAGGAGGAGGGTGCTGTGGGCTCACTGTGAGGATGGCAATCCCACGGGGATTAGGGGGCACAAGGACACAGGGCACAGGCTCAAGCTGCTCAGGGAAGGCCAGACAGGGCCCGGCCGTGGGGCCCTGAGGGCTGAGGAGAGGGGCGGATGAGGACTCACCTGCGGTTGAGGCAGCAGTAGATGATGGGATTGTACATGGTGGAGCTCATGGCCAGCCAGAAGAGCGCCAGGTAGACCTGCTGAATGAACTTGTGGCAGTAGATGTCCTCCTGGAAGTTGCCCAGGATGAAGTAGAGGTGGTAGGGCAGCCAGCAGATGGCAAACGTCACCACCACCACCACCATGGTCTTCACAAACTGTGCAGGGAAAGGCTTAGGTCACCCCTCACCTGGAAGCCCCGAGCCCCCATCCTCCCCAGGGCGGGGTGGGGTGCCCCTCTTGCCAGCCTGGGAAGCCCTCAGCAAGCAGGTCCTGTCTACCTCGATGGCCTCAGTCCCCTGGGGCACCCGCTGCTCTCTCCTGGGCCCTCCGTGTAGGGCTTCTGCTCAGCCTGGTCCCCCTGCCCACCCTGCTGTCTTTCCTTTGAAGCCCTCACTCCCCGAATCCCAACTCAGTGGCCACTTCCTTTAACAGGCGCCCTGGATCCCTTGTGGATGAGGCTCACTCCTAACCCCATCCTTTGGGAGTCCCTATGCCAGCTATGGGTCTCCAGTCCTGCTGCCCTCCCTGGGGACTGTGTCTGCCACAGCCCTTCTATCCATAGGTATGAGGCTCCAACGTGGGACCCCAGCCTGTGCCCAGGGCCTAGCTAAACCCCCTGCCCCCCTACTCCCATGGCTGGTTTCAGCAGGTGCCCTTGAGCACAGCCCAGTACCCCATGAGGGATGGGAGACAGGCCCGGGCTGGCAAATGGAGACCAGCTCTCCATGCAGAGGAACACCCACATGGTGTCCTATACCCAACCATCTCCCTGAATGGCCCTGAAAATGTCCAAATAGTAGTTGAGAAGTTGAGACTTCGACCTGATGCACGATGTGATTAACCTACCACCTGCCTGCTTGCCTCACAGGAAGCGGGCAAGGCAAGGACAAGCTCTGAGCCTGCACCAGGATCTCTGGGGGCCTGCGTGGGAGGGAGGAGGGGGAACACTGGCCCTTCCTTTGGAAATTGAAGGCGGATGATGTGGCCGGGAGGCAGCCCAACCTCCGTGACCTCTGAGGGCTGCAGTTCCAGCATCAGAATTCTGTGATCCTAGCAAGGAGCCTCCTGGCGTTCTGCGGGGCTTCTTAGATTCAACATTCTGCTGACTCAGCGGTGCAAGATTTTACTGTCATTCTAAGGTGCTTGGAGGTCTCTGAAATTCCGTGGGGCTTTAGGATTTCCCTAACATTCTGGGAAGTTCCTTTAACGTTGTGTTTACCTCAAGACCAAGGGCAAGTCGGCCTGCCCTGGAAGAACGAATTCAGGCTCCGGCCAGGACTTGTGGCTCCTGTGCTCCGCGGCGCCCCCCTGAGGGCGGGCCTGGAGCCCAGAAGAGAGGCTGCGGGCCTGCCCCTCCCCATCCAGCCCCCCAACCAGCCCACCTTCTTCTTGGCCTGCAGGTACTGGGAGTTGGCGCCATGAGCATGGTACCCGGGTACCCCGCGTCTCCACAGCGTGAAGCCGATGACGCTGTAGGCGAAGAACATCACCGCGAGGGGCAGGAAGTAGATGAGGGCGATCACGGCGAGGTGGTACCTGGAGGGAGAGCCAAGGGCCTGGGCACCGGTGGTACGGGGGCGACTTCGGCCTCGCCAGTCCTCAGTCCCCAGGATCCCGCGGGCGCCTCTGGCGCGCACCCCCCCGCCCCAGGCCTTAGTTTGAGTTAAGGAGGATGGATAAATAAGGCAACCTCAGCCAGCACCTGCCCACAGGGGTCTCTCCGGCTGCAGGAGGGAACCAGTGCTAGCCCTGCGTCCGCCCGTGATAGTCAAGCACCAAAAAGGGAGTCAGTGGGAAGGAAGAAGTTAACCAAGTCATACATTTGTTTAAAACTTAAAATGTCAGTAAGCACAAAGGAGGAAGTAAACTTACTTATCCGCCCCCATCGCTGCTCACAATTCGGAATCTCTCCTTCCAGAACCACAGGTGTGTACAAGTGTTGCCTGAATCGTGGGTGTGCACCAGCCCCAGGGAGCAGGTGCTGGTACCCTGCCTTCCCACTGCCCCTTCTCAGGGCGGGGAGGCCGGTGATAACGTGGGGAACACCGCCTCCCAGTGGCCAGTCCGGAATAGTCTCCCCATCCCTCCCTGAGCCAGAAAATGGGATCCCGTCACTACAGGACCGGCTTTGCAGCAGGGAGTCCTTCTGAGAAGGTGGGGTGCAGGGTAGGGACGAGACCCCAGGCAGGGCCTGCCCTCGAAACTCAACAGTCCCCAGGAACAGGCTTCTCAGAGGAATGGCGCCTTCACCAATACTGAGGCCACAGCGCCGCCCTCTTCTGGCTGGTGCCTGGGGCAGATGGGGACCAGGAAGATAACGTGGGGAACACCGCCTCCCAGTGGCCAGTCCCAGAAGAGTCTGCTCTCCATCCCTCCCTGAGCCAGAAAATGGGATCCTGTCACTACAGGACCGGCTTTGCAGCAGGGAGTCCTTCTGAGAAGGTGGGGTGCAGGGTAGGGACGAGTCCCCGGGCAGGGCCTGCCCTCGAAACTGAACAGTCCCCAGGAACAGGCTTCTCAGAGGAATGGCGCCTTCACCAATACTGAGGCCACAGCGCCGCCCTCTTCTGGCTGGTGCCTGGGGCAGATGGGGACCAGGAAGGGGTGGTGTTGGAGGGCAGGTGTTAGAGGAGGCAGGAACGGGGCTGTGTTGCATGGTGACCTCCAGAAGAGTCTGCTCTCCATCCCTCCCTGAGCCAGAAAATGGGATCCTGTCACTACAGGACCGGCTTTGCAGCAGGGAGTC